ACGTTCACAATCCTTGACTCGGAGGTGACGACCAGCTGTATCATTGTAGGGGCAATATATATTCGTTCTAAGTCTTTATCGAAAAAGACAATGAACATTTGTTGCCTTGTCTTCCCCTTCTGGTGCGTAGTTGGCACTTAGCATCCTCTCTTAAGGTGTCAGCTTATTGATTGTCCTTTGAGACTCGCATACCCTCAGGTAAAGGACTCATGATCCATGATAACGCCTTGAGGTGGGGCGTCGACTGGCATCCCGTTGAGGTTTATTGTGATCTTGCGGGAGCGTTGCGTCCCTCCTTCAATGTACTTATCACAAGTGTCCTGCTTGCCACCAACTCCTCCAGTGTGTCTGTCTCGAATGCGTGCAATTCTCAGTTGCGGTGTCCCTTTCTTTTTATGGAAGGTGCACCGTGATCTTTTCGTCATAGTTACTTCTGCGCTTTTCCCTAGTTTGTGACTGCCATTGACGAAAGGCTCATCTTTATTTCACTAGGAATTCGCGTTAGATCGCGTTTCGAATACCGTGGTTATGGCTGTTGCGACTCAACCCATCTTTTATCTGCGGTCCTTCCGTTGTCTCGCCTGCCCACGTCTGTTTCTGTTCTTTGCGTCCTGCATTGACCGTCGCTGAGTCTTCTTTTTCTGGTACTGTGGTCGCCCCAGATTTTGCTTTAGCACGTGCGCCATCCTCTTCTACCCTGATGTGCTGATGCACTCTTTTCCATCAAGTCTTTCCATGTGAGGGGCCGGCGTTATGGTGATTGAGTCTCTTAGTCTGTTCCCGACTGGAAGGCCTCTTTTATACTGTGCAATGGCGAGCATTGGTGGCGCAATCCCCAATCTGATTGAATGTCTCCCAGTTAGCGACTATTGTAGGATTTAGGGTTTCTTTATCGCCCATGTCGAATTGGGAGAGCCATATTGTCAATCTCCACGAAGGTTTTGTGTTCGTTCGAAACCTTGTACGAAGCCTCTGCAATTGCACCAAGAGGCTATGCTGCCCTCTGGAAGTTTCTTCGAACCAAGTCAAGCTAGGTTCGGCCAAGGCTAGATGGAAGAAGGTATGCACATTAGGCCTCGTTTCGCCTGTATACAGGCCATGACCGGTTGACAAGTGCAAAGTTGAGTAGGGTGTCTTCCCTTCATTATGGTAGTGATTTGGGTTCTGAAGGAAGCGCTGATAGGGTCAGGGGCTACTTTTCAATCGCCGCGAACAAACGGTAAGTCTAGCCAGCTCTTGCTAATGCTTTGTCCGTTGGGTTCGGTAGGCAGTGGCGCCGTAATTGGCCATTCCAACCGACGCTTCCATGCGTCCGAGGAGCCAACCCTGTAAGGCAGAAACTCGGTGCGATCCCGTGCACCCGTGGCATCCTCCTTGCAAATCGTGCTTCTTCTTCGATAGCTACGTTCGTAAGTCGGATGATCTTGGGAATCCCGTCTGTCTAGATCTGGTTTGCGTGCGTATGTGAGGGCTAATACGTGCTTCCTTTTCAGTGTAATGATCTTTCAATCTCGTGCCTCTCAGGAGACCTGGAGTGACCGAGTTCTGGAAGACCGTGGATTGAGTCGCCTGTCCGAGGCTGTTCTACTCATGTCCTTGCGAGGGTGTGGTATTCCTACTACGATTTCTTGCAGTGGCGAGGGGCTCTTGTTTTTGCCGCCCCTTCTCCTCGTCATCACTTCTTTGCTTCTTTACTGGCGCTTTAAGCCTCCATGTCCCGCCGCCATACTTCCTTATCAATTCGTCTTGCTCCTTCACGCGGTCCTCCAGAACTTGAGGATCAATCCTCCGCCTTTGCCTATCAGGATTTGTGAATGAGAGTGACGGGGGCTGTGAGTCCGTCTTCCCCTAGTATCTCTCCTGGGGTTATGTCGTTGGACTCCAAGTCTGCCATGGGAGGGATAGAAGTAATCCTTCACACCTGCTCCCCCATCTGGTGTTTGCCCGTCATGATGGGACTGTGGTAATTCTTCATTGTGCGCCATTGTTCTTCAAGAGGCAAAGCTGATCAAGAGGTTTTGTTCCTGTTGTTATTCCCACAGACGGCGCCAAGGCGGGGCATAACCGACTTAGCTTTCTGGATGCATACAGAGGCTACCACCAAATCGCCATGCATGAACCAGACCAGGAGGTCACATCCTTTACAACTCCAAGAGGACTATACTGTTACAAGGTCATGCCCTTTGGCCTGAAAAACGCAGGGGCAACATTTCAACGAATGGTCACCAAGATGTTTGAACCATTGTTAGGCAGAATGATGGAGGCTTACATCGACGACATGGTGGTCAAAAGCAAGGATGAAAATAATCATCTCAAGGACCTAGGAGAGATGTTTGAAATCCTAAAAAAACACAAGTTACGCCTCAATGCATCCAAGTGTGCATTCGGAGTAGGATCTGCCAAATTCCTAGGCTTCCTTATGACCAACTGGGGTATAGAAGCAGACCCTTCCCAGATCAAAGCAATCCAGGATTTGAAGAGACCAAACTCAGTAAAAGAAGTGTAGCATCTCACCGGCATGGCAGCTGCACTCAATCGGTTCATAAGCCGATCGTCAGACAGACTACGACCATTCTTTCAAGCTTTAAAAGCCAAGTTCGAATGGGACAAAGAATGCGATCAAGCACTGGAAAGCCTGAAAGAATACATGTCTTCTCCACCATTGCTGGTCACCCCAATATCAGGAGAAGAACTCTTCCTATACCTTGCAGTCTCTCAGCACACAATTAGCGCAGTGTTGGTCCGTATGGAAGGAATTCAACATCTGCCCATCTATTATGTCAGTAAGACATTGCTAGGAGCTGAAACAAGGTATTTGCCACTGGAAAAACTGACATTAGCCTTGATAATGGCCTCCAGGAAATTGGCACACTACTTTCACGCCCACACCATAGTCGTCCTCACAGCTTTCCCACTAAAAGCTTTGTTTGAGAGGGCGAACTTTTCTGGGCGAATTTTGAAGTGGGCAGTAGAGCTGGGACAATTCGACGTCAAGTTCCAACCTAGAACCGCAGTAAAAGCCCAATCTTTGGCAGACTTCGTCGCAGAGTTTACTCCTGGAAGTCATCATATCTGCCCAATTTTTCAATTTTGTTAAAAATATTTTTAAAACAAATTTTTAAAAATTAAACCAAACATGAAACTTCATGAATGTTCTCGTAGCCGTAGAGTCATTTCTGATCAGTCAATCTTTTTTTTTTTTTTTTTTTTTTTTTTAAATAAGGGGCGCGTTTTTTTATTTTTTTTTAAATAAGGGGCGCGCACCTTGACTAATTTCTTCCCAGGTCCAGTTAAAGACAGATTATTCACACAAAAACTAGAGAACTCACAATATATATATATATATATATATACTTCTTATAATCTGACCTCAAAAATTGAATCTTATATAATAATTAGGGAGAGTTACGGGCCGGTCCTTTGGATTGGACTTAATACCCATGAGATCTTGTTCCAAAATAATTTAGCCCACCTTCTCATTTTACCCTTGATAACCCACACGTTTGACTTTTCTACTTTGTGCACATGTCACTGCCATGACTGGTCATCGCCCCTTCCAGCCATTGTCAATCATTTCCGATCGCCGACGATAGCTTCTAGTAACCTCTGATGATCACCTTCGGCAACCTCCACCGTTGCCACTATCCTTCGACCTCAAACAATATTTGTTTTATCCATTTTTCATCTTTTCACTACTACCACCACCTTCTCCTTAGATCTAGTGGCGACAAAAGAAAATAAGAAGAAAAATTATGAAGAGAATGGAGGAGAGAGACGAGAAGCCATTATCAAAAAATAGTTCTCATTATTTTCCACATTCACAGATCAAGACAAAGAATAAAAAATCAGATTCAATGATAAATTAATCACTGTTTGTTTGAAAAAAATTACAGAAGGAAAATCAAGCAGCAATCACCATTACAAACCAACACAAGAATCAGAAATACATTCAGTGATAAATTTATCACTGGCTGTTGCAAAAAAAAATACAAAAGGAAAATTTAATCATCACCATAAAAAATGATAAATTTATGAAGGAAGATGGTGGCAATGACGATGTTAGATTCAATGATAAATTTATCACTGGCTGTTTGTAAAAAAAATAAATTACAAAATGAAAATTACTATTACAAATGATAAATTTATCACTGTTTAGTTTATCAAGTTTTATATAAAAACAAACATATTCAACAAATTTACTGATAAATTTATCATTGATTTAAACAAGATAGGAGTCGACATTGAAAATACCTATATGAACCCATCACAGTTCTGATCTAACATCCTGAACGCCTTTTTCATGTCTTCTTTTTCGTTTCGCTTGTCCATTATTAATTGGTATAGAGCTGCGAACTTGTCAATGTCGACAAACTCATCTCCGTTCATGTCGATTTTCTTGATCTTTCTCAGATCTAACCTCATCTCTCTCAAATCCAAGGGCCATAGAGGTAGGTCTCATGTTCACCAACATCAACAAACAACTGTTTGATTGCCGAGTCTTCGTCACAAACTTCCTCACCACCGTCAACGCTGCGACCCCTTTATCTCCGCCCAACATTACAATGGAGCAACCAATGGCTTTTGCAACATAGCAGTGCATGAGATACTTTTCAAAAAGCAGATCCTTTAGGGGGAGAGAGAGAGAGAATTAAATAGAACCACATAATTCATAATAGCAAGGGTAAAATTGGAATAAAAAATAAAACTTTCTAATTCATGAAATAAAAACTTAAAATCTAATAAAAAAATATATTATATTATTGAGACCGATCTATAAAAAAACCCTACTAATTATGTGGGTAGAATACTCACCCAACCATTTAGGACAGCCCAAGGTTGATCAGTCAGTCCTTACATTCATTCATAGAAGGCCTTTCTGTGGAGGGGGGCCCATTTTGCAGCTAAGCAAGAGGAGCACAAGAGCGAACCAGTGGGAAGGAAAGCCCCATCTAGAAGTCTCACTTCACTTCCTTATCTTTTTCACTTCTCTCTCTCTCTCTCTCTCTCTCATCAGAAAAGCAGAGCATGGCAGCCACACCCACCCTTCTAAAACTCCCAATTCTACCACCCCCAAAAACCCACTCAATACCCCCAATTCTCTCCAACCCAAGTAAGCAACACCTCTCCATTCCCTCACACAACCCCCAAAAACTCTTCACTGACACCATTCAACACTTCGAATCAGCTTCTCTTCCTCTCACAGCATTGGCAATTCCCTTCTTCATTGACCCAAAGGCAAGTCCAATTCAATCTCTATGCCACTAGCTAACTAGTTCTATATATGTATAGGGTAAATTATGCTTATAATTCTTGTAGTTTGTTTTTTATGTCAATTTAGTTTTGTAGTTTAGATTGCATTAATTTTAACTCTTGATTTCTTTCACATTGTTTCTGTTTAATTCAACCGATGACGCTCCTTTAGAAAGTCTTACATTTTCTTTTGAATGTGTCATTTTGCTATTGATTACTATCTAATTTATTGACAGATGTTATCAATTAGACTAAATTGATACAATGTGAGAAATTAATTGGAAAAATTGATAAGATTAAAACTACGTAGAACCAAATTAGACAGACAATTCATCTTCAGTGGTTGACTTGAATTGCTATTTTTTGTGGGTTGGTGGTTAATTGAATGCAGGATGCACTTGCTGTTGGTGGAGAGTTTGGGATTTTGGAGGGAAGAACATTTGCTCTTATTCATCCAATTGTGATGAGTGGCTTGTTTGTGTTTACTCTCTGGTCTGGTTATTTGGGCTGGCAGTGGCGTCGAGTTCGAACAACACAGGATGAGATCAATGAACTCAAGAAGCAAGTCAAGTCTGTTGCAGTCACACCAGAAGGTACCCCTGTGGAACCCCCTCCACCATCCCCTGTCCAAGCCAAGATTCAACAACTCACTGAGGTATCCCTGCATTTCTAAGCTCACTACATAAGAAGCACTGACCCACTGACATGACAATTTGTAAGAAATTGTAGGACACAACATGTGAGTGACACATCCAAAGTATATAATTTTATATATTTATTATATGACATGTATAGGATATACAATTATTGTATTTTTGGAGCGTGTTCTCCAATTGTTTGAAGTGTGTTTGAGTCTAGAAATTTTTTAAAAATAATTGGACATGTTTGGACGTATGTGACAGGTGTCAGCAAGTGTTCGACAAGTGTTGTGTTGTGTGCTACATTCGTAGAAATGTTTGTACTTCTTAGAGTATCCCTATCAGTTTACTTAAATTTTATCCTAAAATATTATTAAAAAATTCATTCCCCATTTTAGGAATCACTTTTTTATTTATTTTCCCCATCAAACTCCTTACTCTTTCTCTATTCTATTAAAATAATATTTTTAATTATTTTTAAATTTAAATATTTTTTTAATAATAACATAATGAAAAGCCAACCAAGGTACTTTTGGGCATTTTTGGGCAGCGTACCAAACACAAGCAGCACAGTAGAGGAAAACAAACAGTGGAGGTCGACCGGTTAGGTCATTTTTGGACATTTTTCTTCTTCAGTTACCGGGCACTCACAGACATCCGGGGGACATCAAGGGGACTTCCCTTTCACGCCCTCAACAAAATAAAATAAGAATTTATCAGATATAAGGTTACAGTGACTCCCTATAAATAGAGAGTTACTGTAGCAATCCTAAATTTAAGGGATGGTATAAGGGATCTGCTGGGGAAAAATTTCTGAGGAATTAACCCCTTATAATAGCAAAAAGCTATTATAAGGGAACTGATAGGGATGCTCTTAGGTCACTACTTTTGGGCTTCAGTTGGACAAATACTCCTTGACAGAGGTGGCTTAATCATTAGGGCACCTAATTTATAATAAAATTCAAAAAAAAAAAAAAAAAAATTCTTATTGGTGAAAATCCTATTTTTTGAAGGCCATGAAATAAGGCCTCGTTTTGTTGCTTATTCTAAGGTTTCAAAGAATCTTGGACCGCTATTGGTCCCTCGCCATGGATCCATCCCGAAAATCCATGTGCCCTGTCCCCAATGCACTCCAACTGTTCGATCTAATGAAAGTGAAAATTTTAAAACATTGGAATTTTGAGAGAGAGAGGGCGACTTGGGATTTTGGGGACGAGGAATCTTGTGCCTTAGTTGTAAGACAATGAATTTTGATGTTATTGCCAAGGTTGGTTTGAGCACTTGTAGCACTCAATAGTTTCTACACAATTTAGTGGATATGCTAGAAATTGTCTATCTTGTAAAGCTGACTGATAAAGAAATGTGTATCACAATTGTTGATTTCTCATGATTCAGGAAAGGAAGGAGTTGATAAAAGGGTCGTATAGGGACAGACACTTCAATGCAGGTTCAATACTGCTGGGATTTGGTGTGTTAGAGGCAGTTTGTGGAGGACTTGACACTTGGATCAGGACAGGAAAGCTATTCCCAGGACCTCATTTATTTGCAGGGGCAGGTAATTATCATCTTCCCATTCCATAACATAGACCAAAAAAAGACTATGACAACACTTTGTTGTGTTAATTTAGGCCGTGTTTGATAGTACGAAGAGTAATGTTGCACAAATAGAAATCTTATACAAAATGATGTGGCTGCATTGTGGGCCTATTATTTTGAAACAAAGAAGCCATCAAGATGGCTGTTAATTGCAAAAATGTTACTGTCACATCACGTGGTGGAAGACTCTGTGATTTTTTTGTAAGAATAGCTTTTTCCCATAATGAAATTCACATCTTGAAATTGGAATTGGAAATCATACTAGTTTAAAGATTCACCTAATATATTCTCTAGTTCCAATTCCAAGTTTTAGTGGTCTCAATTCCAACACTTAGTAGGGTTTAGTTAAATGTATGAGTTAGCCTACTTACAACATTAAATCACAGAAAAGTACCCAGAATGCACATGTCGCATGGGAGGGCCCATCAGAATTATCTTCATTTGGTGGTACCTTCATTACTTTCACTATAGATGGGTCTCACCGTGTTGACATGTACGAGTTTCAATTCCATGTCTAAGTGGGATTTTGTTTTCATTTATGATTTAGTCTAAGTACAACATTAAATCGCAGAAAATTAGAATGTGCATGTCACACGGGAGGGCTCATCCAAATTATCCTCATTCGCTGATATCTTCATTATTTTTACTAGAGATTGTGCTCGCCTGTGCTGACATGTAGGAGTATATTTTGCGTTTATAGTTAACTGACCTGATTTTGTTGGATCAATTTTGAGGGAACAGGGATAACAGTCCTGTGGGCAGCAGCTGCAGCTCTTGTACCAGCAATGCAGAAGGGGAGTGAGACAGCCAGAAATCTCCATATTGCATTGAATGTGTTGAATGTCTTGCTCTTTATGTGGCAAATCCCCACTGGAATTAACATTGTCTTCAGTGTGTTTGAATTCACTAAATGGCCTTGAATGACTCAGACACTACTTGAAGGGTGAGCACTCTTGTTTCCTCTTTTGGGTGTACCAATTTTATCCCCATGTCTGTGTCATTGTTTATAGTCTTGTATGAGTAAATATCTTTTATTTTAGTCATATGAAATTGGTTCAAATCATTTATACGTTGACTGCTTAAATCATCTGTGTTGAGCTATAATACTAGTAGAGACTAAAGTATCATGTAATGTTCCTTCATAGATTAAAGATGTTTATGTTTGCCAGTATCAGTTGAGAGTGTTGGAGTAGAAAGTATAAACTCGTAAGGTGAGCCTAGAACAATAGAATGAAAAGAATTGAATTGGCTTATCTTGAATGAGGTAGAGGCCATGTATATATAATATATTCATGATACAATTTTAGGAAACAATATAAACAAGAAGAGATTCCTACAATCAAAATAAAAAAATATTCTAATTCCTATATTCAACTTAATATTCTAGTTTCTATACTCAACTAGAACTAGAGAATAAAGAAAAGAAAAATAGGTGTAGTCTAGGTGTCAAAAAGAAAATATGGTGTATAGTGCAGTTGTTAAGAGAGAGAGAGAGAGAGAGAGAGTGCCACTTGAGCTATGGACTGTAGAGGGTTTGAGTTTTGTTGCTAGTTATTGGCAAGACTATGTACATGGCTTTAGCTACACAATCTAGGACTAGACTCATCTTTGCGCTGATGTGTGTTGAAATCCAATCTTTTGTATGATACCTCCAAATCCTTCAATTTTGTCTTGGATTATGGTAAACCTTATGTAATTAAGGTTGAAACCCTTTGGAGGCCCAAGAGATGTAAAAATTGCAAATCCTTTAATCTTGTCTTGGCATATGGTGAACCTTATGAAACTAAGGTTGAAACTCTTAGGAAGCCCAAGAGAAGTGGTCTGCTTGATCAGAGAGAAGTGAACAAGAAAAAATTAATAGGAGGAATTGACTATAAAGATGACTTGTTGCGAGACCCTCTCATTTTAAGCAACCAAGTCAAATAAGTTAGGTTGAGTTTTTCAAAACTGTAGTTAACTATTTAGCTACTTGTGAGGGACATTTGTATATATCTCTTTATTGTGAGGTGTTTTGTATTTACTGTATACTCAAAGTACTGTAAGGGGCCTTTTATAAAGGTGGAGGGCTGAGGCCAATAGGCCGATTAAGCAAGGTTTTAAATTTCAAATTAATGTAACAATAATAGGCAAGACAAATTTCAAATTAATGTAACAAAGGTGGAGGGCCGAGGCCAATAGGCCGATTAAGCAAGATTTTGATTGTCAATGATGTGTTGCAACTTTGTATATTAGAATGAAGATCTTTATTCCAATCATTTAAGTGCAACTTCAACACTAACAGGAATTTTTCCAAACAAAAGTATATTAGAAAGAAAGTACATTATGTATTTTACTTGATAACTTTGTCTTGTGTTTACTCTAATAGTACTCTATTCCTGAAATTGGTTTGCTTAGCCTTCAAAGTTGTCCAAATGTAGTTGCTCTAACCAAGAGAGAGTGAGGCAAAATACTTGCCTATCCTATTGGTGCTCCATTCTTTGACGATGGTAGGCAAAATGCCTAAAAATGCTCTAACTACCAGTTTGTATTGACGGTTTTGGTGAGAAAGAAAATAAATAGAGAGAGAGAGAGAGAGAGATTTCATCACTTGTTTTGATGATTAAACATGAGAAATGGTAAGGAAGATAAATTCTATGAAACTCGAGTTTTTTTTTTTTTTGGGTCACTAAAAGTGGAAAGATTTGGTGTCAAATCAAAATTGCTCTTATATAAAAATTTAAAATTCCCAACGCTCCGTTTGTTTGGGCATAAAATATTTTCTAAAAATTATTTTTCGTATTTTTTGGCATTTGGTACAATGAAAAACGAAAGTTACCAGGAAATATTTTTCATGGTCAATGAAAAATAAACTTATTTGGATAGAAAATATTTTTCACTATTAAAAGGTAGAAAATATTTTTCGGATCACCATGGCCATAATCACCATCACCGTCGCTGCCACCATCACCACCGTGGCCCCACCACCATGCCACCACCTCCACCTTCGTTCCATCAACACCACCACCAAATATAAAACAATATTTTCTCCAAAAAACATTTTGTAGAAAAAAAATTCCGGAAAAAATGTTTTCTGCTCAAACAAATAGAGCATAAATTACCCTTATAACTACGAAGTAAATAAAATTAAATGACATAAGTATTCGGAAAATTCTATTTTCACACATCTATTTACCTCAGTACATATCTTTTTTCAGTGCACATACTTAGTAATTTGATTATTAATTTTTGTTCTCATTCCACACATCAATTATTACAATCACACCCTTAACTCATATCTTGTACACACACTACCTCAACCATTTTTCCACGCACCTAGTCAAAATTGAAGAGCAACGGTCTGTCTTATTTTGATTCACAATGAAGGAAACTCCATTGAAGAGACTGAAGACCTAAGACCCTCCATTGAAGAAAGTGAAATCAACTATGAATTAGTGAATAAACATACATGAATCAATGGAAATAATCAATTGAAAGACCCACCTCCTCCATTCCACACTCTAGTTATGAAATCTGTTGAAGGTAACTATCATTTTGTTACAATTTTGTTATCCCATTTGGTACCATTTCGTTTTTTCCGTCGAGTGAATTAACAAATTAGAATAAACCCTTGTTTTTTCCTTGAAGAACTGTGATTTTGGGAATTCGGCACTAGTTTTCCGAAATTCATTTTTTAATTCGACACTTAGTTTTCGAAATAGATTATTTTTTTCAACATTGTAGTTCCAAAATATATTGATTTGTTCGACACTGTAGTCTCGGATAAAATAGAATATTTCAGCACTAGTTTTCCAAATTAATCGTGAAAAAAAAAACTTTTACACGAAAAAACTGACCTTTTCATTACTGTTTTTGCTATCACCAGGCATATTTTTACTTGATTTTGAACTTCCATTCTATAACAAAATTAAAAATAATTGTGGAACTAATGAGAAAACGATATAAATAATAGAGTATAAACCTAGAGAGTAAAGCATTATGAAATTTATTATGAGAGTATTACTTTGCAAGTAATAGAGAAGTATAAAGTGTGTAGCAAGAAAAGTCAAAAACAATGGAAGAAGTGACAAATATTAATAAACTAGGGTTTAGTTTTTTTTACTCAAAAGATGTGAACTAAGATTTTTTTTTTAATTTTTAAAAGATGTGTACCGAAAATATTTTGATATAATATTATGGGTGTTGATGGATGTCCGTTATAGTCATTTTAATTTAGGATATAATTTTCATTAAAATAATATTTCGTTAAGTGTGTGAATTGAGGTAACTAGGTGTATGGAAATAGAATTTTTCCAATATTCTCTTTTATTTATTGTTCATTCAAATAAGAGAGTGAGAAATTACAATTTTTTTTGTCATCTAACTGAAATTATAATTTTTTTTTCCTTTCTCACCTCGTGAACCATGACTCCTCTGGTGAACATGCTAGAGAGAATCTAAATCTGTACGGACAACATTGTAGTACATGAAGTGAGAAACAAGAAAGGTCTCTAAGAGAACTTCTTAAAGCAACCGTTGAAGTTTGGACAAAGGGAAGAATTAATGTTGGTGGTGGAGAGAGAGAAAGCATTGATCCCACTTCTCTATCATCAAGCAAAGTCAAAAGCAATAGAGAGTACATGCATACAAAAAATAAACACAGAAACATAAATAGTAAAAGGAAGCAATACCAACAATCCCTTTTGTGATTCTCAATTCATCAAGGCATCTCTTCATGAAAAAGGTTTTTGTTTAGTAAAACAAATGTTTGTTGCAGTGATTGATACGAATATAATGTAATAGTGATCTGTTTTCATTTCTCAAAAACAAACCCAGTTATGTTCCTGTGGTACGCTGCCACGAGCACAGTATATGTGTGGAATAAGAGAATAAGTATTAGATCACCATCTTGTCTTTTAAAAAGAAAAAAGTAACAAAAATTAATTATACAAATCGGACACAATCTCACCAGAAGCTGACTTTTTTGTATTTGATTCTGTGATTAATTTCTATGTTATTGAAATGACATGCTACATGTTTTGTAGATAGAAGAACCTAGTTGACAATTTTTAGATGGGTAAAGAGATTGAATGTGATTGGTCTTATGAGTCGTATATATTTGGAACTCGTTTACATTGTATTATTGGAAAAAATGGAGGAACAATGTTCGTTAAGACCGTCATACAAAGGAATAAGAAAAAATTTGAGACATAGAATTTCTAACTTGATGTGATAGCCATCCACCAACTGAACAAATTACCGCTAATAAAAAACTTGGAGATCAGATAAACAATTCTCAACTTCTACTATCTCAATTATGTGGTAGCGGAAAATGTTTTGGATGGGACATAGTGACTTATCTTTATTGCGTAGATAGGAGGAAGGGATAATTCATTTAGCGTGTGTTTGATTAGAGGGATAAGAGAAAAGACTATTTATTGTGCAGATTGTAATTTGGGAGAAGTATTCAATCTGTCATTTGTTTTTTTTTTTAGTCCGCCGGACATGGAGTCCGGCCGGACTCTTTATCCCCCATATGGGAGACTATTCTGTCCTAGAAGGGGTATGGGACAATTTTTGGTGGACTATCCACTATTAGGATTAGGTGGTAAAATGACTATTTTGACCCTCTACTATTTAATTATGTATTATATTTAATAAAATTCAATAAAATTTAAATGTCTCAATTTAAAAATAAAATAATTTTATTTAACTTTTTATTGATGTTTTATTTATTTAATTTTTTAAAAATAATTTTTTATAGATATTTTATTAATGTTTTATTTTAAAATTTTATTTATATTTTATTTAATTTCATTATTTAAATTTAATAGATGTTTTATTTAATTTCATTGTTTAATTATTATTATTTTTAAAAATAATAATATTTTAAATTTTAATTAAAAAAAACATATATTTTTATTGATATTTTATTTATTTTATTTAAAAAAATAAATTTATTTAATTGTGTAAAAAATAAAATAAAATATATTTTTATTTAATCTAGCTAAAAATAATTAAAATATTAAAGATATGTTTAAAAATAAATTTATTTGATTGTGTAAAATAGCCTTTTGTTCATTTATCCTATCCAGTCCGTCTAACCAAACGTTGGATTTACTAAAAATAGTCTTTTCCAGACATCTAATCCCATGAAAAAATAAACACAAGATACATATTCAATCCAGCCAAATAGTCCGGGGGGATTTATAGTTCCGGGACTCAAATCCGATGGATTCTAATCCCCCCTTATCTAGTCCGTCCAATCAAACATATGTATGTTGTGATTTTCTTAGCATGGTTTACCCACATATCAAATATTTAGGGGTCGTTTCGTTTTTGAATTGGGCTAAAAAATCATAAAAAGACAAAAAATAATTAAAAAAAAAATTAAAAAGTCAAAAATTACAAAAAGACAAAAAAGAATTTGTCAAAACAAAGTAAAAAAGTTAAAAAACCAAACAAAAATACCAAATAATCAAAAAAATCTCAAATTAAAAAAAGTCAAAAAAAATTAAAAAACTAACTAAAAAAATCATTGCCAAACCCGCACTTATTTTACCAAACTCTCCATTTGGTGGCTTATTAGTTAACTACCAATGTCCAATAAATACAAAATTGGTGGAGATTTTGATGCTTTTGAGGCCACATGTTGAAATTGATGTAAACACAAAAAATTTAGAATTCTGAATGCCAATATATTAGACCTCAAGTCACCTACCCCTTAGATGGCCCCCAAAAGTGCAGTTCTTGAAACTCTTCTTGATGAATGAACCATCACTGTTAGTTGATAGTTGATTTTTTGATACCTATCTTGCCTATTTGTGAATTCTCATTAGCTTTAAGTTCTTAAAAAGCTTTCTTGAATCAGATTCTTCCTTATTCCTCAACATCTCTCTCCATGTTTCGCATAACCCATTTAAGAAAACTATATATAACTCCTTTCTCATCCTTTCATTTCATCCCTTGAGAGCTAATTTTCTCATACAATAATTATTAGCCTTGGTACATATACATAGCTTCAAATTTCTAGCAAAACAATATGGCTCAGCAGCAACCCCCACCTCGCCCGTGGTTCCGGCTTGCTTCCATGTCCCGGCCGGTAGCCCCAACTCCAACGCCGGCACCGGCCCCCGCCCCAACCCCCGCCCAGCCCCTGTCTCTGCACCGGTTGCCCCCCAGCCAAGGCTGCCGTTTATCCGACCGGCATCTGCCCAACCATTTGTTGCCCCGACCACTCAGCCAACTCAGCCACCACCAGCACCTCGAGAACCTACCCAAGCCCCGCCGCCAGCACCATCGGCTACTGCCATGGTTTCGTCTGTCCCATCATCTCCCATCAGAGCCACCACTCCTGTTTCTTCATCCGTACCATCGTCTCCAAAGCCAAGAGTGTCCGCTCCTTCCTCCCCGCAACCCAAACCAGTGTCAACCTCCCCAAAAGCATCGCCACCACAGGCTTTTGTGGCAGTAGCACCACCACCTCCCACCACCACCACCATTACTTCGTCTGTCCCAACATCTCCGATCATTAGAACTGCCACTCCTATTCCTTCCTCTTCACTACGAACTTCTCCGCCACCCAAACCGGTGGCACCCACCCCAGCACTACCACCTTACGCAATCAACGACGCGGCTACCACCACCACTACCACCACTGTTGTTACTCGTCTCTTTGCACCAAAACCCGGCGTCAAACCTCCACCGCCCACATCTCCACCCCCTAAAACCAAGCCCCTCACTCCGCCACCATCTCCGCTAACACTACCATCAGCCCAATTGAAGTCTGATACCGAAACCATTGAACAAAAAACCATTCTGGTGCAAGAAACCATTGAAAAACCCAAGGCGGTGCCGCCCAGAACTTCCACCGGAGACCCCCGAGGTAACGGTGATTATCTGAAGAGAGATGTGATCAAAGGTAAAGGTGATTATCCGAAGAAGCTTTCGGATTCTGAGGAGTTTGGGATGAGGATTATCACCATTGCAGGTGATAATAAAGGTGCTATCATGGAGTTGAACCCAAAGAAAAATGAATTTGGAGGAAGCCCACAAAGTTTGAACAAGAAAGGCCATGCCAATGCTTGGAAGGACCAATTGGGAAACGCCAGCAGTGGCGAAGAAGGGAGGCTGAAGAGCAAGGACAAAGCAATGGCAGCATCGTCACCACCACTGCCGTTGAATACTTACATGAACAGTAATGTGCAGGGTGTCAACAATTCCATTCTCTACAATTGTTCTTGCACCCACCATGACCCTGGTGTTCATCTCTCTCTCTCTAGAAAGGCCAATGGTAAGAGTAATGGTAATGGCAATGGCAATGGAATACAAATCAAGGAAGGCAAGAATGGCTAACATATTTGGAGAGGGAGAGTGGGGAATAAAAATAAAAAAAAGTAGTTATGAATACATAAATTAATTACGGAATTAGATACAGAATACATATGAATGGATAAGATTTTACAACATTCGTTAGTGGGGTTCATATATATAAAAAAAAAATATCTTATCCATTCATATATATTATGTATTTGATTCTGTAATAGATTTTTGTGTTAATAAGTTTATTTTTTAAAAAAGGAAAAATAAAAAAAAGAGGGTATCTACTATTAAGTATCAACTATATAATGGGGAATAATATGAGAGATATATTGAAAGTGAAGATACAGAAAGAGGCTTGGATTCTAATTCTTCCATTGTTGGATTTGCACTATCATGGTATTCTTTTGTCTCGAGATATAATTCTTGAGAATGTTTTGAGATACTAGGGTCAGTGATTGAGACAGAGAATCCGAATTCGTGTAATGGAAGGTGACTCAAGAGGGTGCATGGCCTGCTTTTGTGTAGTATGAGTGAAAATATTATGCTAGTGAAGAAGCAAATAATAAAATGGTGTAGTTTACCCATGTAACAAAGTGTCGTAATGTCTTTGATCTCATTTTGTTGTACTCTTTTCGATTTATTAATAAATCTTCTTCTTTGCAAAATTTCTTAATTTTATTGGTGGGTAGCATATAAACTATCAAATTTAATAACAAATGCTCTATGTATTTGGGAAAAAAAATGTCTAAATCAGCTTGCTTGGTTGTGTTTTTCCAAAAATACTTTTTAAAAAATTCTACTTTCTTGTTTTTCGTATTTTTTTTGTTTTTATTGAATTTTTTTAATATTTTAAACAATTTTTTTTTTTTTTACTTTTTAGACATACCTAACATAAATATACCTAAAAAGTAAAAATTTTGTGAAAAAAACCTTTTAAAAATTCACTAAATACCAAAAATACAAAAAAATACGAGAATTCAGTACATTTTTTGTATTTTTATGTATTTATTAAATTTAAAAAATATTTTTTCACAAATTTTTTACTTTTTAGATACATCTAAGTAAAGTGCATCTAAAAAGGTAAAAAAAATGTTTAAAATTTTAAAAATATTTACTAAAAATAAAAAAATACAAAAACTAAAAAACTGAGTTTTCAAAAAACTTATTCCAAAAAACTTTTTTTTTTTTTGATCGGCAAAGAAAAAATTTATTGATGAAAGCAACCAAAAAAGATAGATTACATCAATAAAAAGGAGCTTGGAGCAAGCGCAAAGCTCCAAGCGCTAGTTGGTGAGAAACCAACAAAAAGAGAACAAAAGAAGGAGAAGAAAAAAAACACAAAAACCAGAAAGAAGACAACAAAAATAGCACACACAACGAAACAACTTCACCACAAGGACACCCACAACCAGCAAAACAGCACATAACAGCCCAATTAACTAGCAGACCATCTTGCCTTCAGCCCATACACCAGAAACCAGCATTACAGCCCATACAACTAGCATACCATCTTGCCTTCAGCCCGGACAGCCACTAGACCTGTACTACAACCCAATCAACCATCCAACCCATCAACAAACAACCCAAACAGCCAGCAGAACCCTCAACCACAACAGACAATCTGCCACCCAGACAAAAAACCCAACTCAACATCAACCAGAGCATAGCAGGACCAGAGCACATATACTATCCATGATTGAATCTTCATGAAAACAAATTATACACTATTGGTCCCCTGGCAGCAGTAGTCTACATCAGCACAGCAGCAAAAAACTGAAACAACCTTTCGCAGCAAAACTCACACAGATCAGAATGGTAGATAGGTAGCAACAGAAATAGCACCTGAAGGCGTGCATTAAATCAATCAATAGCAACAAACAATTTGCCTCCAATTGAGAACAACATCCACCAAAGAAAATGGAAAGTCAGGGAGGGAGTTTTTGAGCCAGAAGGCTAATCTAAACTTGATGAGATCCCACAGTTTATCTGGGTTCAGACTAGCATTGGTGAAGACATACTCATTTCTATGCTTCCAGAGAGACCATAAAACTACAAGTGGAATAGCTCTCCAGAATTTCCTAATAGGCCTTTTAAATTTAACACCCATCCACCAGTTAAAAAGATCTGCCACCGAATTTGGGATGCACCATTGAAGCCTCCATTCAAACAACACATGGGACCAGATGAACCAAGAGAATGGGCAATGGAGTAAGATATGATGAGCAGATTCAGGGGCAGCATTGCAGAAAGGGCAGCAGGTAGAGGCAGAAAGGATGCCAAGATTTTGCAAGAAGACAGCAGTTTTGATTCTACTTTTCCAGGCCAGCCACCCGAAAAAATGGACTTTGGGAGGTAAAATGTTACTCCAAATAAATTTGGTAATACTAAGATTAGGCCCATGAAGAGAAGAACTGAAGGAGTAAAGAGAGGACACTGAGAAAGAGCATGAACCAGCAGAAGAGGAAGACCAAACCAGACTATCAACACAGGTTGTGTTCAAAGAAGGAGTAGAGGATAACAAGGCAATTAATCTCACTTCATCAGCCAGCTTACAAAGCTCTTCTATAAATGAAGTGCCAAACAGAGTTGCTTGTTTTCCTAGCAAAAATTTGGTGGAGAGATCCATTCTTTTCTGTAGAAAGATTGAATAGAGAGGGGAACTCCTCCTTAAGACAAGACACACCACACCACTTATCATGCCAGAACATTATTCGGCTGCCATCCCCAACCTTGATATTGCAGTTGCCCAAGAAGAAATTGAAGAGGTTACTATTTTGAGTCCCAATAAAGGAGATATCCTTCCACATCCTAGAATGTTTATAAGAGGAGGAAACAGGAGGGTGCCAACTATGGGCTTCAATTTTGTATTTGCTACAGACGATTTTCCTCCATAGTGCATTTATTTGATTCCTAAAGTTCCACCACCATTTGAGAAGCAGGCTTACATTAACATCTCTAATCCTCCTAATGCCCTGACCTCCTTGGGCAGAACTCTTTGTGACCTCAGTCCATTTCACCAAATGAACTTTTCTTTTTAGTTCATTACCACCCCACAAGAAAGCAGCTTCAATCTTTTTAACTTCTCGAGCCACACCTTCAGGCATCTTAAAGAGAGAAAGGTAGTAAACAGGTAGACTTGACAAGACAGACTTGACCAAGGTTAATCTACCAGCAAAAGATAGCAATTTCCTCTTCCAGCCTGATAATCTTGATCTAATGTTGTCGAGCACTGGTTTCCAAGTGGATTTCCAACTTGGGTTGGCACCAAGAGGTAGCCCTAGGAATTTCAGGGGCAAGCTACGAACCTTACAATTCAGGAGGTTGGTAAACAAATGCAGTGACTCAGCTGCTACCCCCATCCCATAGACCACACTTTTGTGGTAGTTGATTCTCAGGCCGAAAAGGACTTCAAAGCATCGAAGAGTTCTTTTGATAATTACTACCTGTTCCATATCAGCTTCACAGAAGAGAATAGAATCACCCGCGAATTGAAGGTGAGATATAAGGACCTCATGAGCCCCACCCGATCTCCATTAAGGATGCCAAGATTGAGAGCTCTGGTGAGGAGAATATTGAGCCCTTCAACCACAATATTGAAAAGGAAAGGTGATAATGGGTCACTTTGCCGAAGATCTCTTTGTAAAGAGAACTCTTGTGTTGGTGAACCATTCACAAGGACGGAGATACGAGCTGTAGAGACACAAGTTTTCATCCACGAGACCCATTTAGACCTGAACCCAAAGCTAGACATCAAGGAGAACAGGAATTCCCAGTTAACTGAATCAAAAGCTTTCTCGAAGTCCAACTTGATAATCAGGCCTTGTAACTTGGCCTTCTTCCAACCATCAACCACTTCATTGGCAATAAACACCCCATCAAGGATGCTCCTTCCACCTATAAAAGCTGTCTGAGTTTCCCCAATGATTAAAGGCATCACTAACTTCAATCTATTTGCTAGGACTTTTGCCAAAATTTTGTAAAGCGAACCAACAAGGCTGATGGGTCTATAGTTAGATAGGTTGTTGGGATTATCAATCTTGGGGATAAGGGTGATGAAGGAGCTATTGATTCCATAGGTGAGCCTACTATGGTTGTGGAAATCTTTAAAGAACTGCAAAACCTCATGCTGCATGACTTCCCAAAATTTCTGATAACATAACATATTAAAACCATCAGGGCCTGGGGCTTTGTTACTGTTACAGTCTTTAACGGCTTCCTAAACTTCCACAGTAGAGAATTCTGGAATCAGATGTTGAGAGACAAAGCTGGCTTCGATTGATTTAAACTCCCCATGTAAAGAAGGCCTGATAGCCCAGCTATCCTGGAAGTGGGTCCTGAAGTGACTTAATACTTCCTGCTTTACTGAGCCAGGATCCTCAACAGATACACCATTGACTGTAATAGAATTGATCATGTTGCGACTTTGCCTAGAGCTTGCAATAGCATGGAAGAACTTGGTATTTTTGTCTCCCTGCAGGGACCAATTCACTCTGGATTTTTAATGCCATAACCACTCCATTCTTCTATAAAGCTGCCACAGTTCACCTCTGACCACCCTTTTTCTAGCCTTTTCCGAGTCAAGCAGGTCTCTAACCTCAGCAGTGATATCTAGTTCATGCGCTTCGCTCTCTGTAGCCTTGAGTTTAGTTGAAACATTTCCAAATATTTCAGAATTCCATTTCTTTAACTCTACCTTCAGAAGTCTCAATTTTTGTTGGATAATAAACCCAGCCCAGCCCACAATTATTGTGTTTTCCCAGCAAGACTTAAAAAGAGAAGAGAAGCTAGGATGTAGAACCCAAGCATTGATAAACCTAAAAGGTTTAGGACCCCAATCTCTTTCATCTTCCATCAGAAGTAGAGGGCAATGATCTGATATAAGTCTAGGCAATCCCCAAGGCTTCAGTTTAAAGTGAATCAACCACTCTGGCCTTAACAAAACTCTATCAATTCTGCTCCATTTTTGTGCCTCCTGAGCATTGCACCAAGTATACTGCCTACCCAAGAGGGGTAGATCATTCAACTCGCAATTATCTATAAAGTCATTGAGATGTTTCATTCCCCTGTCTCTTCTAGAGCAACCAATTCTCTCACCCATATTCCTTATTTCATTAAGATTACCTCCCAAGCACTAAGGTTTGGGGAAAGAGGTTCTGAGATTGAGAAGAGTATTCCAAAATGTAGATCTACTACTGACATCATTTGGAGCATATACATTAATCAAAACACAATCAAAGGACTTGTAAAGTGTACCTGAGATTAAGATAAATCTTCTGTTACAACAACTGCCAGATAACTGGAAAACATCAGGATCCCATATGCAAAGGAGCCCTCCTGCCGATCCAACCGGGTCCACAGATAAGAACTCCATGTTCCTGCTTCCCCAAATTCCTCTAGCTGCAATAACCGAATCCAGCACCTTTTTTGTTTCTTGAAGGAAAACAATATTGATATGCTTATCCTTTAGTAATTTCTTGATTCTACCCCTCTTCTCAGTCTTGCCAATCCCCCTAACATTCCATGACAGGAGCTTCATAAAGAAATTAAAAAAACACTCTGAACATCCCCAACTGAAGCAGTTACAGCTTATCCTTACCATCATTGGTAAGTCTTTCTATATCCTTTAGTTCCAATTCAATGAACTTTTCCAGCACAACTTCTTCTTCACCTCGG